TATATATCCCAGGATGACCTTAAACTCTTGATCTTCCTCCCAGATGTGCCATTGTGCTTGGCTGTAATTATTAATTTATTTTAATATTACTGGACACTTAATACTTCCAACTAAAATGCTGGCTATACCTCCTTACTTTTCTTTGGATATGTCCCTGGGATAAACTTTCTGAGTTGAGGCTGGGAAGATGCCTCAGTTCATAAGAGCACTGGCTGCTCCTGAAGAGGACCTGGGTTCAGTGGTCCATACCCAATGATGGCGCACACCCACCTGTAATTCCAGTTCCAGGGGAATCTACCACCCTCTTCTGGCCTCCAGGGGCACTACATGCATGTGGTGCATGTGCATACATACAAGCAAAATATCCATACACATAAAATAAAAATACATTAATCTTTTCACAAGAGGGAGGGTCTGGACATATGACTCAGGGGTTCAGAGCTGAATTAATTGAGTTAAGGGAACCAGGTGTGATAGCTCACACCTGTAATCTTAGTGTCCAGGAGGCAGAGGAAAATGAATTGTCACTAGCTCAGGGCCACTGTAGCATACATAGTGAGTTACAGACATTTGGGGGCTGTAGACTATGACTCTGTCTTGGTGGGGAAAGCCTGGTGGATCTGTGAGTTAGAAGCTGACTTGGTGTATGTACATAAAGAGTTCTAGAAAAGCAGGGCTATGTAGAGACCCTGTCTCAAAAGAAAAAAAGAAAAGAAACAAACAAAAGAAAACAAAGATACTGAGTTAGACTTTAGGGCTCTGGGGCTGGAGAAATGACTCAGTGGTTAAGAGCACTGGCTGCTCCTGCAGAGGACCTGGGTTTGATTCCCAGAGCCTGCATGATGGTTCACAGCCATTCATAACGCTAGTTCTAGGGGACTGATGCCTTTTTTTTTTTTTAAACCTTCATGGGCAACAACCATGCATGTGGTGCACATAAACACATGTAGGCAAAATAACTCACTAAATAAAATAAATAAAAGAAAGACTTTAAGAAGACTCTTGCTAGATTTATCAAATTGTCTTCCAGGAAGTACTTCCTGTTCCCATCAGTGGAAAAAAAAAAACCCTGTCTGCTGGAGTTACCCTCTTTTACTGCTTAGAGCACAGTGATTCACACAGCAGATGTTTGTGGTACAGAAGGAAAGGAGATTTGTAACGTGCTATGCAGAGAAGTCAAAGAACTGTACTGGAGTTTGGTCAGCCAGTAGTTGTTCCCCTAACTTGTAGGATATTTCTGTTTTGTTTTGTTGGTTTTTGGTTGTGTTTTGTTTTCTTTTGTGGTGGTTGTTTGGGGTGGGAGAGAACAGGGTTTCTCACTATGTAGCCCTGGCTGTCCTGGAACTCTGTAGACCAGGCTGTCCTCAAACTCACCAGAGATCCACCTGCCTCTGCCTTCTGAGTGCTGGGATTACAGATGTGCACCACCATACCCAGCTTTTGGTGTTATTTTAAGATGAGTTTCACACTGTAGCCCCAGCTGGCTTTGAACTTTCAGTGATCCTCCTGCCTCAGCCTCCTGAGTGCTAGGGTTGCAGGTGTGAACCACCATGCCCAGCTTTTTAAAAATGTGTTGAGTGGTCATTTTGTGTACGGCATTGCAAGCTTTAGGGGTGAAAGGCTCTGGTGTAATCTATTCCCTCAGTGGCATCATCACAGTGAAGGATTATTTTCATTTTGTAGGTAGGTAAGAAAAAGGGTCTGTTACAGCATTAGAATTAGCCAAGTAGCATGAAAGTCACTGACTTGTATATTCTCTCCATATCCCTGACCTGGGGCCTCCCTAGTTCTTTAGACTTCGGCCAGAGTCTTTCAAACCTAGTTTCGGGTCCTTGGGAACTTGTGACTGCCTAGGTAAGTTTAAACTAACCACAGTTCTTTCATTTGCAGAGTGGGATTGTTGTGATCTTTGGCAATGTTCCCTGTGGGGTGATGCCCAGCTCCTCAAAATAGAAAGTGATGACAAGCCAGTTCCTAATTGATACTGACTCTTTTTTGGAGACATAATCTCATAGCTCAGACTGAGCTCGAACTCTTTATGTAGTCCAGGCTGACCTTGAACAGCTGATCCGCCTGCCTCCACCTCTGGAGTGCTTCTTCACCACAACACCTAGCTCCAGCACTCCTAAACACACTACTGTAATCTCTGATCTCTAGGGGTTGTTGTTATTTGTTTTTATTATTTATTGACTATGGGGGTTGTGCCTGCATGTATGTCTGTGTACCGTGTGTGCCTGGTGCCAGCTGAGGCCAGAGAGGGAGTCAGATCCCCTGGAACTGTAGTTACAGATGTTTGTGAGCTGCTGTGTAGATACTGGGAACTGAATCTGGGTTCTCTATTAGAGTTGCCAGTACTCTTAACCAATGAACCATCTCTTAACTGCTACACCCCATAATCTTTTATGAGCTCTTTGACAACACACATACACACATACCACCCTTGTTTCTGCCCTTCTGTTTATGTACCTTGTTTTAGCAATATTGTCCTCCTAAGAGAGAAGCCATATGCCTTTACTTTATTCTCTATCTCACATTCACTTAGTTCCCAGGTCCTTCCTGTTAAAAGTTCCCTACTATTACTATGACTCCTCCTCCTCCTCCCTGTATGACTGCTTGTACCCCAGGCTAGCCATGGACTGGTGATCCTATTGTTGACCTCCTGAATGCTCTTGGCATTGGAATTGTGCCTGGAGAGGGCATATTCTCAGCATCCTAAAATTATATTGCTTCTGCCTCCCATGTGTCCAGAAGAGTGTTAGTCACTTGATATAACAAGATACTAAGGTCACCTTTAGCCAGTTGGTTTTTTTGTTTTGTTTTGGTTTGGTTTTGTTGAGTGTGAGTGTGTGTGTGTGTGTGTTAAAGATTTATTTTTATGTGTATCAGTGTTTGCCTGCATGCATATTTGTTTGGCTGGTTTTAGTTGTTTTTGTTTTCTTTTCTTTTTTAATATATAATTTATTTTTTATTTTATGTTCATTGGTGTTTTGCCTGCATGTATGTCTGTGTGAGAGTTTTAGAAGCCCTGGAACTGACAGACAAGTGTGAGCTACCATGTGGGTATTGGGAATTGAACCTAAGTTCTCTGGAAGAAAAGCCACTGCTCTTAACGATTGAGTCATCTCTCCAGCCCTTGTTTTTGTTTTGTTGTTTGTTTGTTTGTTTGTTTGTTTGTTTTTTGAGACAGGGTTTCACTGTGCATCCCTGGTTGGCCTGACAGAGATCTACCTGCCTCTGCCTCCTGAGTGCTGGGATTAAAGATACAGCTTAGCCAGTTTCTTTTAAAAATTATTTTAAAATGAATTATTTCTTTATTTTTGGGGGCAGGATGACAAGTCATGTTTTGCTCTTGTGGAAGTCAGAGGACAACTTGCAGAAGTCTGTTCTCTCTTTCTATCATGTAGATCTCAGATACCAAACTCAGGCCATCAGGGCTGGAAGCAAGCACCTTTTCCCACTGAGCCAGCCCAGTTTTTGTTTTGTAACCAGAGGCCTTTAGCTTGTAATGTTGCCTGTTGATTTATTTCTATACACAGTGTAAATCAGGTTCAGGTCTCCCAAGTTTCAGGAGTCCTCCTGTCTGTTCTTCTACCCTCTAACCTCTTTTTCTCTCTCCTTTGTCTCCTCCTCCTGGAGACTGGGTATCAAGGCTGGCCTTGACTTTACCATCCTCCTGCCTCACCTCCTGAGGGCCACCATCACAACCTCTCCATAGCTTGATTCCCATAGCAGATGACCTTACCTTTCCAGTAAGAAATGGACTTTGAGGGTCCATGTCTGTTGACTTGGACACTGCTCTAGTACTCATAGTTCTGGGGCTGCATGAAGAACTGAATAGATTGATCTGAAGGGCGTGTGTTCAGCCATCCACACTGTCAAATTGATGAGTGGGTAACAGGAATGATTATGTGGTTGGGGATTTAGCTCAGTGGTAGAGCGCTAGGCCCTGGGTTCAGTCCTCAGCTCCCCTCCCCCCCCAAAAAAGGAATGATTATGTGTGGTAGGCATCTCACATGAACTAAAGGTCACAGCACTCAATCAGCTAATTGCTTAAGGAGAGGGATAACCAGCCAAGGTATGTATGGTAATAGAGGAGAGAACTCATCCCAAGGAGGTCACTGGCTCTCAAAGGACAGGAGAAGCAGTGGGGTCAAGCCCACTCTGGACTGCAGCCAGAGAGTCCAAGCCAGAAGCTGTTGGACCTTGCCTGTTTC